ATAAATACATTTTTAAAACAAGAAAGACGAATGGATTTTATCTATAAATACATTTTAGACCAACCAATAAAATACTTTTTTTTTAAATTTTATTTTAGCGTTGATCCATTATAAATTATCGCCGCACGCCACGAGAATGGTAATAATTAGTAATTCGAATACCTGAAAATATAATTATAAATATTTGGTAACCAATTGCGTTTACGTGCAAACTGACTTCCAAATTTGAATGAACAAAATATATTAAAACTATATCATTTATACCTGAGCCACAGTTGACAATTTTCATGTCGTAACATATAGTCATAAGCGTGTTCCTGTAGAAGGCTCGGAGCAAAAATGTGTGCGCCAACAACTGCTACAAGATCAGACAGCCGCTTTCACAGATCCACACTAACTTTTAAAACATCTATAATTTAATAAACTAATATTAAAACTTATAATAATATAACTAGTAATAATTATTAGCATAATTACTCATAATAATCTATATAGAATTCATAGGTTATTATATTATAACTTATTATAATTAAAAATGTAGTATAAATTCAATAGCAACTGTATTAAAAATATATGTAAATATGGAATCAAATTACATACCTTTAGTAAAACTATCAAGGAAATTTTAATTTCAAAAATCGATACTTACTAATAGATACTTATTTGGTTCGAAATTGGTACTTGTCATACCTTCGCCTAAATATTAAAATTATATAGGCAAAATAACATTGATGAAAGATTTGACGCGCAGTACACGTACAATAATACAATAGATAACAGTGTTTTTATTCTCATTAAAACGTTAAAAAATGTAATAATGAAATAGAATAATCAAAAAAATAAAATAAGTGTCCGTTAGCACAAAAATAAATTAATCTAAAAACTACGTATAATATGTGTATTATATATTTATGTATTTTTTATGTATAGTTAATAATATAAAGCTGATTTTTTAAATATTTGAAATATGTAAAAAATCAATTGTAAGAGATATCTGAAAATACCTCAGGAAAAAAAAGTTTTGATTTTCGAATAAACAAAAAAACATTGTTCGTAATGTAAAAATGCAACAGTTGTGTGAATTTTCTGAAACACACCAACATTCACATTTCAAAATATATATATTTCAAAAACATTAATTAGAAAAAAGTCATTGGCGGAGATGAAAACGCTATGAAACCCATTTTATAGTCTGTACTCTGTATAGTGTATATACCTGATATTATATTATATATTACTACACCGTAACTCCTATATTATATTGGGTACGAAAATACAAAATTAAAAAAAAAAAAAAATTATTCAATGGTATAGGTATGTACTTATTATAATAATATTGTCATTGTTGCAGTTTTCTCTTTGTTTGGTTTTCGTTGGAAATTTATGAATTATTTACACGCTACTATTATAATATACGCGTATGTATGCGGTGGAATTCCGTTGAGGCACCCGTTCTGAATTATTATATCGCGTACCTACATCACAACACGGCAAAGCATTCACGTTTTAATTAAAACCCCATAAATTATTAAATATATGATCAAATAAAATACCTATATAATTTAATCAAATTTTGTCGTAATCCATATAACCTATACATAGTACATATTATAATATAGGCGTTGTTCAGCATGACGTTAAATTGTTTGTAATTTACATTTTCCTATACCTACGTACGCGCGTAGATCCGTATTGACAATTAGACTTTTGTTATATAGTATGTGGGTGACCGTAGAGTAATTTTCAGGGGAAAGGACAAAATTAATACTGGTTAGAAAATTAATCCATGTATAGGTAGTACCTACAAAGTTAGTTAATCTTGAAAAGCAGTGATGGAAAAACTGTATATGAACATAAACCTTAAAAAAGTCTGTTAAGCCTAAGACATTGTAATAATAATGAATATTCTATTGTATGTTATATGTATTAAATAATTTTAAGAAATAACAACTAACACGAAACTAGTTAAAATTTTTAAATATATTGTAATTTTGTATTATTCATATAATTATCATACCTAATATGAAAATAAAATATTTATATAAATTTTATTATACACAATATTATATCACATCAAGCATTTTTAAATTCGTTGTTAATCTTAGCTTTATAGTGTATTAATACTCTGTGCAAACTGCAAAGTAAGTAATTATTGAAATATCTTCCTACAATGTAAATTTTTGGCAGTAATTTAATATATATTACCTACTGCACAGTAGTACAATACACATATAAGAATACAATTTTTGAATTAATGACATTTTTTTCGTTATTTTAAAACTTAATTGTAATCTTTTATCATCGTTGTTTGATTATGATTTTAGTTTCAAATAATCATACCAAATTAAATTATTGATTCTTAAATTGTATTTCTTAAAATGATTTTCAATATTTTGGAATACATATTTACTCCAACTTATTCATTTTTTTAATAAATTTAACAACTTAACTAGGAACAAAAATCATAATTTAGAAGTAATCGTATTGGAATCATCAAATATAGTTGTAGTTAATTATTACCTAATAAATAATAATAAGATTATTATACCTAATAAATATGAATACCCTATAATAGTTTAATTCTCTACAATAAATGAAGAAATATTTTAATTTTAATGTTGACTTTGTGTGTTTATTAAATTAATTTTGAGAAAGGTTAAATTAAATATTGAAATAATTGAATTTTCAATTACCTAATTATTAAAAAAAAAAAATACTTTTCATTATTTTTTAACCATAAGAACTAATGTTTACGTATTAAATTAAATTTATATTCCTAAAATTTAGTTTGATGTACTCGAAAATACTTCTGATCATAAGCATAAAAAAACTAATAAATTTTTACTTTCTAGAACATAAAAAAAATTAACAGAAAAGCACTGTCGTATATATTTTGTATAATAGACAATAGTACATTATTTCTTAGTATATAGTTTATTTAAAATATTGGTTTTTCAGATGGGACATGATCCTGCCTTGCTTTCCTCAATGAGTTAATATATCATTAAATATAAATACTATATTTATGTCAGTAAATCATAAGTACAATTTATGTCAAGTTATGTAAAAAATTAATTAATTAAAAGTTGAATTCAAATCAATAGACCAATGGTTTACTAAGTAATTATTTTTAAGGGACCATTAACTCGCTGTGAATTTATTGAACTCTTAATAACTGTTTATGCAACTGACACTATTATTAAAATATTATAATTAATAGATAATAAAATAACACATTAGTTTATTATATTGTAATGAAATGCCAACCCAAAGAAAGATAAAATTTGTGGCTTCCTTTAATCTCTAAAATATTTTCAATTCGAATACTTTTTCTTGCGGTTTTAATACATTATTAGATGATGTTGTTAGGTAACAGTATGACACTAAACGATAAAACCTTAACTTATTTAAATGCAATCATATTATAATTTCTATTGTAAGCGATTAATCTACATTTTTGTACATAAAAGTAATTATCAAACTAACGGAAAAAATATAAGATCTTCTTTCGTAACGAGAGAAAAAGTATAAGTACACTTTGCAAATATAGATTTTAATTAGTTTTTAAATGCGATTTATAAAACGAAAATACTCGCACGTGTTCAGAATAACGATACAGATGACACTATAATAATGAAATCGACTATTTTCACATTGAAGTTCTTATTATTATCGTATTTGTAACGGAGAAATAAAATAAAAACAATAAAACACGATATTACCTATAATTATATTATGTTTTTTTATATTTATTATATTTTTTATTCGTGTAGAAAATAAAAATAAAATGATAGATAATAATAATAATTATTATACTGCTCGTATTACCGTATGCTGATATTTTTGTAAGGAGTTTAGTCAATTGGTCATATAAAATTGGTCGTCTGAAATTGGTCGTTTGATAAATTGGTCGAAGTAAATTTTCGTCACAAAACATGAATATTGATTTAAGAATGTTATATTTATATATATATATACAGGTACAAATCTACCGGAATAGAATTCCCTAGAAAACGGAAGAAATATAATGACACCGCAGAGAGGATAAATACAATATATAAAACATTTAATAATAGAACATTAATTGATGAATATATATTAGGGATAGCTCATAATTTATAATACTTTTTACACATATTATTTTCTATAACTTATATACTCACATATATTACTACGAATTTTTTTAAGAAAAATCACGACAAAATATTATTTTTATTATTAATACAATATACTAATTATATACTTATATATTAATTTTCTAAGCGACCAATGTCATCACGACCAAATTCGTACAACCAATTGACTGTACCCTTTTTGTAAGTTATGGGATGTCGAATACGCAGTGAAAGTTAGGTATATATACTACGGTACATCGACTTAATAAATACAATTATATACCATCGTATACAATTATATTTAATCGTTGTAGACTTTAGTCGATGACATTAATTAACTTCTATTCAACAATATAATACATATATCATAATTATATTATAATACGTATATGTATACTAACATGAAATAGCGATATTTTTTAAATATAAAACACTAATATTATCTATACTAAAATACATAGATGGGTCTACTGCAAATTATGATATTTATTATTAACCAACTTAATCCGTTATTGTAGTGTATTATATATTTATAAAATATATTTCTTATTTCATATTATTATTTAATATTTTTTACACCCATGTCCTATGTTTTCCTCACCCTCCACATTCATTGAATATGATATAATTGTCGACGCGTATACTATACTTCAGAAATGTTACTATTATTATTATTATCTATTGTTATGTTATCTTATGATCGCCAATGTCGATCCGATCCATGTACGAATGTTACCTATTTTAGTGTGTGTTTAACCGTGTATCCATGTACATATGCGCGTCACCGTGTCTGTCTCAGTATTTTTAAAATAAATTATACATTTCTATATTAATGAAAATTATATATTAAAAATTATACAGTCCATTAAAAACTAGCGACAACATTTGGTCCTTCGGCCGGATTGCAATTCGCATAACTGAATACAACGTAATTAGAATTATTATTATTTTGTTTAATTAAATAAATAAAAAAAAAAAAAAAAAAAAAAGTTATAGCATTCCGTAAAATTAAGTGCGCGTGGTAAATCGTTATATACTCATATGTGTTCAGCAAATATTAAACATGCATAATTAAGGTGAATTACACAAGCAAGAAGGACAGTGATGGGGCGATGTGGTAAGTTGTATCAGTGCAAATTATTACTTATTTCCTAAAAATAAATCCTATCTATGAGTTTGAAAGTCTCCTTCAGGTACCTAAATTTAATTGGGAAATTGTTGAGAAGGTCATAACTATAGTACAACTCGGTATAGATAATAAATAATTGGCTGTTGGCGTACGTTATCACACTAATACACATTACTTACAAACACACAGCTGTCTATCGTGATCGGCGATCCCGTCCACTTTAGACACCAAGCTGTCACGCATACACATACACAGGACATACACACTCAAAAACGCGTACTTCAATATGTCAGATTTAGTTTCGTTAAAAACCCGCAGAGGGCAATTAAAAGGGCAGTTAACAAGGTTCAGTACATATGTAAATAAAGATTCAGTGGACCCAATCGAAATTAAATGTCGAAGTAAGAGGATGGAAGAATTATGGTCAGAATTTGATCAAGTGCAATCTAAAATAGAGTCATTTGAAAACGAAACTGATGATTACCGTATAGAGTTTGAAGAAATATATTTTAGCGCTATAGCGTTAGGTGAGAGCCAAATGCAACGTGTTAGCGCAAAAAAGGATGATGCGGGTGGTGTAAGATCAATTGCAACAGCGCAAACAATTAATTGTAGCACGAATTCGTGTTGCAACAGCACAACCGCAGCATTGAAATTGGCACCGATAGATGTACCAAAATTTTCGGGTGCATATGAGGAATGGTCGGCTTTCCACGATATTTATATGGCAATGATACATAATAATCCAGGGATAGATGATATACAGCGATTTTTTCATTTGCGTTCGTGCCTAAAAGATGAGGCGGCACAAGTTATAATGTATATAGAAACGACAGCCGCAAATTATAACGTAGCGTGGAATAGCGTGGTGTCTCGATATAATAATAAAAAGGTGTTAGTGCAGTCACACACGAAAGAGTTGTTCGATATTCCGGCGATAAACGAGGAAGCTGTACAATTAAGAAAATTAGTAGATCAATTAAATGGTCATATAAACGCGTTGGAAGCACTAGGAGAGAAACCTAGAGAGTGGGGCTCAATATTACTGCACCTTATCGCAACTAAATTAGATTCCAGTACACTCAAAGCGTGGGAAACGGTATCTCCTAAAAATGAAATACCCAAAGTACAAGTGTTACTTGAATTTTTAGAAAAGAGATTTAAAGTAATTGAAGCAGTGGAGACCTCGTCAAGTATAAATGTCCATAATGACGAAAAAATAAAATATAATATGATTAACAGAAAAAAAACCAAAAATAACCACAAATCAATCGCGTTTCCAACATATGGTGGTGTGAAATGTTATAATTGCCAATTAGCGCACTCGATATATAAATGCCCATCTTTTCTTGCTTTACCGGTTCCCGATCGAATAAAAAGGGTGGGTGAACTTCAATTATGCAAGATATGTATTCGGTCTCATATCGGAAAGAAATGTGATGGAAAAAAATGTTTTCAATGTCATAAGGCGCATAACACATTATTACATTTAAAAATAAATAATAAGACGGAGAGTAATTCTTCAGAGCAATTTAAAGATAATACCGAAGAAATACCCACGACAAGCAATTTGAGTATATCGGCACACGCATCAGCGATAAGCTATAGACAAGTGCTCCTATCAACCGCAGTAATTAACGTATTTAATAATGATGGCAAACCGGTAAGGTGCAGAGTTTTATTGGACTCCGGTTCACAAAATAATTTTATCACAGAGCATATGGCGCAAATGTTAAGATTGCGACGTAAAAAAGTTACTTATGATGTAGCTGGAATCGGGCACGCATTACATACCATAGGATCCGAGATTACGGTAACGGTGGGTTCCTGTATAACGGATTTCAAAGCAAATATATCATATTTAATAATACCTTGTATAACAAAAAATATTCCGATAAGCACGGTAAATACGGAGACCATAAATATACCAAATAATATTGTACTAGCCGATAAATCATACAATAGACCACAACGCATAGATATGTTGATGGGTATTGAATTATTTTTCGATTTATTAGATCAAGGTCAAATTAAATTAAATGAAAATGGCCCTATATTGAAAGAAACAAAGTTTGGTTGGATTGTGGCAGGTCCAATTTCTAATAATAAATCGAATTTAAAAGAGACACAAAATATTTGTTTAAGTACGTATCAAGTAGATGATAATTTAGATGAAAGGATTGCGAAGTTTTGGAGATTGGAAAATATAGATAAAAATACTCATTATACATTGGAAGAAAAGGCTTGTTACGATCATTTTACTAAAACAGTACGCCGCGACGATACGGGCAAATTTGTCGTACGGTTGCCGTTCCGGGAAGACATTAGCAAATTGGGTAATTCTTATAAAAACGCGTACAGACGATTTCTGTCTACAGAAAAACGATTAGAACTAAATAAAAAGTTAGGTAAGGATTATCAGCAATTCATGTATGATTACCTATATCTTGGTCACATGGAACCGCTGCGCGGCGCGGGGGAAGGGTCGGTCAATGAACCAGGCTATTTTCTACCGCATCACGCTGTAGTAAACGATAACAGTAGCACCACTCGTCTGCGCGTAGTATTCGACGGTTCTAGTAAAACCGATACAGGGATAAGCTTAAACAATGTCCTATTAAAAGGACCAACAATACAAGACGATTTATTAAATATTTTGGCTAGGTTTCGTACACACAAATACGCTATATCCGCAGACATATCGAAGATGTACCGTCAAATTTGGATTGCACCGGAGCATCGGAAATATCAAAAAATATTTTGGCGTGAAAATAAGGAACAGCCTATGCAAATATTTCAATTAAATACGGTCACTTATGGTATTGTCTCGGCATCGTTCTTAGCTACCGCGTGCTTGTATAAACTAGCGGAGGACGAGCATAGTAATTTTCCAAAAGCGTGTAATACAATAAAAAATGACTTTTACATGGATGATTATTTAGGGGGTGCAAATACGAAAGAGATGGCCATACAATTACGTAATGATTTGCGAACAGTGTTACAATCCGGTGGCTTTAACTTACGAAAATGGTCTGCCAATGATCCGGAGTTATTAAAAAATTTAAATACGGAAAATAGTGATTCTATGTTGGTACTCGAATTAGAAAACGAAATGGCGAAAGTTCTCGGGGTACTGTGGCATCCTAGGAAAGATATATTTCAATATAAAGTACAGGATACAAGTTCGGAAATTCAATCGACAACAAAGAGAAGCATATTAGCGCAAATAGCTTCATTGTTCGACCCACTCGGTTTAGTGGGACCTATAATTATAAAGGCAAAAATTTTAATGCAAGAAATGTGGAGGTTAAAAATTGATTGGGATAAACCGGTACCGACGAAAATGCAAGATGAGTGGACGAAATATTTACACGAATTGGCAAGTTTACGGGAATTGTGTATACCGCGTTTTTTGTGTACGGAAGATAATTGTTATATAGAGGTTCATGGTTTCGCTGACGCCAGTTTAGCCGCCTATGGCGCGTGCATATACGTCCGCACTACAAATAATAGTGGTGTTTGTACATCGCATTTATTGTGTGCAAAATCTAAAGTTGCGCCTTTAAAAGTTATATCACTTCCCCGATTGGAACTATGTGCGGCCGTAATTTTGGTAAGGCTGTACAATAAAGTAATACCAAAATTAGGTATACAAATACAACGGCGATATTTTTGGTCTGATTCGTCAATCGTCTTAGCCTGGGTAACTTCACCTTCTACGCGTTGGCAAACATTTGTTGCGCATAGGGTGGGGGAAATTCACGATCTTAGCTCAGTAAACGAATGGCACCATATTGGAACTAAGGACAATCCCGCGGATATTATTTCACGAGGATGTGGTGCGAAAGAAATTATAAATAGTTCTATATGGTGGCACGGACCAAGCTGGTTAACCAGCGATCATAAAACTTGGAAAAAAACTGTTTGCGAATTAAAATATACCGAAATACCAGAAGAGAAGGGTACACCGAAAACTGTTGCATTTTTAGCACAACCGGTTATAAACGAACAAATATTAAACAATTATTCCTCTTGGAATAGATTATTGCGCATTTTTTGTTATTGTTTACGTTTTATAAAAATAAGAATAAAAAAAATTAAAGTAGTTGGTCCAATATTATCAGATGAATTAAAAGAAGCTGAAATAATTATAATTAAAATAGCTCAAGCTTCCTATTGGTCCAGTGAAATAAATGATTTAAATAAAAATTGCACTTTAACGATAAAAAGTAAATTACATAATTTACAACCCTTTTTGGAAAACGGAATTATACGAGTCGGTGGCCGCATAAAAAATGCCAATCATGTGAGTATAGCACAGCGTCATCCTATTCTGATTCCAAAAAATAGTATTATTGCGAAATTAATATTGCGTAACGAACACGATCGACTTTTGCATGCAGGCCCGCAAGCAATGTTAGCAAACAGTCGATTAAAGTACTGGATAATTGGAGGCAGAAATATTGCTAGACATATATTTCACCAGTGTGTAAAGTGTTTTCGACTTCGACCAACAGTAGTTGAACCAATAATGGCGGATTTACCATCGGAACGACTGGAGCCAAATCGACCGTTTAAAAAATGCGGGGTTGACTATGCCGGTCCTATTACCATAAAAACAAGTTTACGAAGAAATGCTACAACAATAAAAGGGTATATCTGTGTGTTTGTATGTTTTAGCACTCGGGCAGTCCATATTGAATTAGTTGCTGATCTAACTGCTGAAGCATTTCTAAATGCTTTAAAACGCTTTATTGGACGCCGCGGTGTATGCTCCGATATATTTAGTGATAATGCTACTAATTTTGTGGGAGCTAATAATAAATTGTTAGAGCTAAAAAAAATATTTCATACTGAAGAGCATTTAACTAAAATATACGATGCTTTATCGTCTGAGGGCATAAGGTGGCATTTCATACCCCCTCGATCCCCTCATTTTGGCGGATTGTGGGAGGCTTCCATTAAATCTATAAAAAATCATTTATACCGAGTTTTAGGTACGGCTAATCTGACATATGATGAACTGAACACCATCTTAATTAAAATAGAGGCAGTCCTTAATTCCAGACCTTTAACCCCATGTTCCTCCGATCCTACTGATACGACACCATTAACACCGGCTCATTTTTTAATTGGTGAACCTACCTGTTCATTACCGGAGCCAGATTTAACTGGTATACCAGAAAATCGATTAAAACGTTGGCAGCGGGTAACGCAATTGACTCAAATATTATGGAAGCGCTGGAGTAAAGAATATTTGTCGCAACTTCAAACGAGGCAAAAGTGGTTAGCAAATAGGGGCCCTAAGCTCAAGATCGGTACTATAGTATTAGTGAAAGAAGACGACGTGCCCCCGATGTCTTGGTCAATGGGTCGAGTTGTTCGTGTCCAAGCTGGTGACGACGGTGTCATCCGAGTGGCGACTATATTATCAAAAGGAAAAGAAATATCCAGAGCTGTCCGTAAACTTTGTCCTCTTCCTTTTGAGGATAATAGTTCGTAAAATATTTTTTTTTTTATTCTATGATATCTTATTGATATTTAAATATGGCATGTATTATGAAACATTCTAATTTATTTATATTTAACAATGTCTTTACTTATATATTTATATTACTTATTCCTTTATTTAATTTTGTGTGTTGACATCATTTATCTATTTATTGTGAACTTTTGTTGAAAAATATTTTATATGCCTTTGTTTTACTGTATTAATATTCTAATTTTTCAAGGCGGGCGGCATGTCGACGCGTATACTATACTTCAGAAATGTCACTATTATTATTATTATCTATTGTTATGTTATCTTATGATCGCCAATGTCGATCCGATCCATGTACGAATGTTACCTATTTTAGTGTGTGTTTAACCGTGTATCCATGTACATATGCGCGTCACCGTGTCTGTCTCAGTATTTTTAAAATAAATTATACATTTCTATATTAATGAAAATTATATATTAAAAATTATACAGTCCATTAAAAACCAGCGACAACAATAATATTACACATTTATATTTTTATAACAATTACTTTTAACTTGATTTTTATGTAAAAATAATTTTTGTTGACTTTATTGTGTTTACCTCATGGAGAAAAATGTTTATTGTATTATTGAAATTCTTAATTTTTTACTTTTCACTGGTTTATTATTGTTATTTATTTATTTTTTTTTTTTTTGAAAACATCAATGTATAGAATATTTTAATTGTTGGACTAAAAGTTTATTATATTTTATAAGCATTATGTAAAGTTTTGTGAAAATGCGTGGGATTCGCCGTACATTTAAACTTTCAACGTTTATAAATAATAATAAACTAGGTATTGGTTTAAAATGTTTATGCCAACGTTTTTAAACAAAATATTTCGCTTAACTAAGCGAAATTAATTATATAAAATTCCGCCGAATAATAAAAGTAATAATAAAGGAAAACCCTAAAATTCGCAAAATAATTAATCTTTTTCAGAAATAATGAAAATACTATTAAGCAAAATATCGTATAATATTATATTTTTTTTTAATTTATTTATTAAGGTATGCAAGTACTTACGTAACAATTTAATTATTTAAGCACTATTTATAATTCTATAAATTCATTTTACTCATATTTTTCAATGCATAAATTTAACCTAAAAATCGAATGTTAAAAAAAGAATAAAAACCATTGTTCATTTGCTAATATTAATCGATCTTTGATTTTACACATGTAGTAAAAAGCTCCTACTTAAGTTTTTTTTTGTACAAGTACACGCTCTTCATCCCACAAAACCCAATAAGTATAGGCACCGTTTGATTTTTAATATATCCATTTCTTTTATTTTTTTTAATAGTTTTATAATTTAAGTTGCCGTATTATACTGAACAAAATCTTGATGCTGCACTGTAGCCATAGACCATAATATGTCATGTCATGTGTGTCATGTGGACAAAATACCATTGAATAATTACGCAACAAAATATACATAATATTATGTTTCATACAATTCATGCGAAATAAAACATAGAATAGGCGTGTTAACGTATAATAAATTATAATTAATGATGAAATAATAATAATTTAAAATCTTGATGAATAATAGAATGCGGTAGTTAAATTGTTTTATTATATATGTTTGAATTATTTAACCCATACGTATAATATTCCGTTAACACCAATGTAGGAGAAGTAAAAAAAAATTTAAAAAAATGATTAATTATTAATAAAAAAAATAATCGATCTGTATTTAAAAATTTACATTTGATTAATTTAATGATTCTATTATACACTTGAATACAATATTTTAATTATGTTATTGATGCAATATATTATTATAAGTATATAGTTCACGCAGATTTAACGTCTCCGCTCGGTGTATGCATAATATTGCAGCTATACTATATAATAGTATTCCAATTACCGAAGTATAGCAATTTAAACTTCTTAAGGATTTTAAAATCAATCTTTAAAGGATTTTCGAAATTTTTCCTCTCTATCCCAGCAAGTGTATAAAACGCGTAATTTCATGCTTAACTATAAAGATTACCGTAATATAAACAAAACGCCGGCAAACCAAAGATAAACTTTTCTCTTTTTTTTCTTCTTTGTTGTCTACTACAACGCCTAAATTCGTTACATCGTGCGCTAGGTTATATGCCAATAAATTTCTAAACTTTGAATAATATTAATAAATCTGCTTATGATGTCAAGTAAATGACAACGGAAATATATAGGTAGGTTATAAACTAGGTAATAGATATTATATCATTATTTTACTATTGAACGTATAACACTATATAAAGTACCAACAACACTTTTCTTCGTCGATCAGTATACCAAAGGACTAATTGCGAGTCTAAGATGGTAAAACATTGGGTGCCAGTAACTTGTAGGTATACAACAAGACAATTTATACAATACATTTAATACATTATATGATTTATTTCCAGTTCTCAATTAGAAGTTATTATTTACATTGTTCATCATACCGACTTGAACTAAATTTAAAACGTTCGTATGTTGTAGGTGTAATATATTGTAAAGAGTTAGATTACGGATTTGCCATATATAACACACTATATTTTCTAATTTATGAGTTGACAGATCACATCGTTGAGTAAGAGCGTATAATACATTACATTATTGATATAACTAGTAGTCGAGTTTGGATCACGAAGTAGAGACTAAGAACAATTGGCTCTATATTTTTAACATAATATTTTCAATCTAAAAAATTATTCTTTACTTGAAACTAAACGAAGGTATGTTGCATATAAAAAGGAGTACCGATAACTCCAGAAGAACGACAGTATGTCAACTTTTAGGTAAGATATTTAATTTAAATGGATTAATTACACTTTATTAGATTTATGTTTCATCTAAATACTACTAATTATTAAGTATAATGATATAACTTTATCTTACCTTAGCATTTTTTTTTTCGTTATCTGGGTTTAACACTATAACAAGTTATAGTAATATAAAATATTGGAGTTACGTGCAAATATTATATAGAAAATGATTCGTCATTCTTCGTTTTCGTTGTAAGGATGCTATACTTAGACAATGTATAATATACATGTATTATATAAATATATACTTCATGATTATGTCGTACTATTTAAATTACTAATATAATATAAATACATCTACTTAGCGACGCACTTACTTAAAAACACATAGCAAACACATCTCGGAAATAAATATAACAGTACCTTTAGTCTTAGTTCCGATTGTTGGCTCTCTCTCTCTCTCTCTCTTTTTATATATATATGTATGTGCACTTTTGTTATTATCGATCGCAGCTAAAACATATATAAAAGTATAAGGCAAAATGTATATCTACATACTTAGTACTTATATATTTATACATAAGGCACACACCGAAGGTTATAAGATACAAACCACACTCTAAACAATAAACATAATTAGTTATTTCAACAAAATTTTTTTTCTTAAATACTTAAACTAAATTTTTACTAATAGTAAATCTTATATTTTTTTATGGTCTCGTTTCTATAATCAATAATTCTAGGTAAATATATCAATATGGATAATTAAATACTTTTTCACCGCAGATTTATTTAAAAAGGTGGAAAATTTTTACTAGGTATTTTAACATATTATACTATAAAATAAAATAATGTATTTTTTTTTTATTCCAAATTAGATACTGTTATTATTATCATTACAATTCTATACCATATTGATTAATAATGATATAAAATTAACTGCTTACAAATTAAATATTTATTATATATAAAATATATATTAATTATTAGGTTTTAATGGTTTTATACATATAAAATATATTTTTTCTATAAACAAACAACTTAAAAAAAATAAGTTCTAAAAATATAACAATATTTATACACTTTAAAAACGTAAAAGTCGTTTGAGCATTACATTTTTAGTAGTTAAATTTGCAAAATATATTTATTTTTTATAAACATAACACTTTTCAAATAATCTTACGTTAGAGTATTTGTTAAATAGTTTTTTAATATTTTAACATAGAAAAATATCACTTTTGTAAAACCTGTGTGACAGTACTTAATGTTTTGCAAATAATTGATATCAAATCAAATAAACAATAATAATAAGAAAGGCATAACAAAGTACAATTATGTATTTAAATACTATTATGTTTTAATTCTCTCTTATTTAAAAGTTATGCTTGCATATCTCAATTTAAAATTGTTGGTTATTGTATTCATTAAACCATTAATAATATTTATTTACTAGATAATAAAGGGTGTCATAGAATTTTTCAATTTTTCATAAAATCCAGTTTTTTATTATTTTTTTTTTTTTAAATTGTTAAAACTAATAAATGTTCATAATTCATCGTTAAAAATATATGTATTAGAGATAAAAGAAAATTTTGTGTTTGCCTATTTCACAAATTTTCAAGATGCATTTGACAAAAATAGATACGCATAAAATTAACTGTATGATCTGTAAGTCACGTCGTCATATATATATTAGTTGAAGTCGCTGTAGATTAATGTACAGCGTAGACTGAAGACACTTTTACTCTGTTTGTTTTTTTTTCTATTGTGAGGTTGTATAATTTTGCTCTTCTTATCTCCATGCGCTTTGTGGTATTAACATACTGACATCAAATGGTTTTAATGTTTAATTTCAAAAAAATAAACTATAGCATTCCTTTAATATACCAGTTGATAGTTAAGATGACATAATGCATGCATTAAAGAACGCATCGGAAAAATCACAGTTTCCTAGTCGCTCTATCCGTCCCTGGACTTACATAATATGGTAAATGGGTAGTCTGAAATATCAAAATTCTATTTCACATTTTCTGATTGATGACAATTATTGAAATTCAAAGAGCCAAATCCACTTCAGTTCCAGTCGGAAGTAGGGCCATCATCGACGGTTTTAGGAACCGTTTTTGCACCAATTATTGACTAAAGTCGTATCTATTATTGCAGATTAATTTATTACGTATCATCATATTGTTATAATATTATTGTCTCGGATGTACGTCCTATATTATGTATACTGTTTTAGTACATTTATTTTTTTATAAATTGTATTTAATAGTTACTTAACGCTAAAATATAATTTTTCAATAACAGATCTATTTAAACTCAATATATGTGGACATTCATTTATTTTTTTCTTGATATACATAACTTAAAATATTAATCAGTAATAAATCTTGAATTATATTGTAGTATTATATTCAAATATTATAGTATTTATAATGCAATTTTCTTAAATATTGTGTGATAGGATCAGATATTAAATACATAGATCAGACAAATATACTATTTATTTTTGGTCGATAATATCAAGTCATTTGGAACGCGTCTGAAATATTTGTGAAATTGCTCTAGAGAATTAGTTGGTCATAGGTCATTAGGGTTTGTTTTTTATTGTATTTAGAGTTAGGTTTGGGCAACTCGCCAAGTGCCACAGTCCTAGTAAATAAACGATCATTAGTAAACAGGACTAGTGTTTAAAGGTAGCTATTACGTAACGTTTTTATTTTCAAACATTCTTACGATTATCTACTAACTGTAACATTTTTTTCCAAATATGTACAATATTAGAATCTAATAATAACAATATTTATTCAAGATAAAAAAAATTACAACATACTCTAGGATTTTCAATTTTTACACGTTAAGTTTACTCTACTTTTGCATAGTAATCTAATTTTAATTGCTTATAGTACACGCAATTTAAGATAATATTATATAATCAAGTATTTATTTTATATGCAGTGCCTAATGTTATATTTAATGGTGGTTCTACAATTTAGTTAATATACTAATTTACTAAATTTCTATAGTTTTTGCTGTCGTAAACCCTATTTTTAATCGTCTTAAATATTATATAGATTATAGCTTTAATGAATATTTAAAATAAATGGAATTAAACGCTTAAACATTGGTAGATAGATTTTAATATCGCACTATTAATATTATATTCATTTATATCATAATTTTTATAATTAAAATTAAAGCTATAAACTATAATTATTATATTATGTTAAGATAAATTGAAGATAATTTTACAATTTGAAATTTTAATGAACTAAAAATTAAAAAATGTATTATAATACTTAACAATTATTTATTTACCCCCAACCATTAAAACATACCATTTATAATAATATAATAATTATAGAGTTTGGGCTTTTTATTTGTCAAGTTTCTGTAGTTGAATGTATTACACTAAAATATTATATTCTCGAAGTTTTGTGGTTTGTATTATTAAATTTTATTTAAAATCGTGAAGATATGAATTTTTTTTATTATTGAAATTATTTTAAAGTTTTATTATTATTTTTATATCAATATTAAAATGAAAAATGGAATTCCATAAAATCAATTCATAAAGTGTTTCTCCTTTTCTATTTTATACAAAAGATCAATACAGTGTAATCTGTAACATCAATCTAAAGCCTTTTGTTTTTATATTGTGAAGTATAACTTCACTGCGTTTAATGTCTGAAAGACTAAAACAACAATTATGAGGAACGGTATCCTATCCTAATAAAACAATAGTAAAATCGGTCCATGTATAAACAAATGAAGTTTTGTCGCAGTAAATGAAAACTTTCGCTCTCGACGATATAAACATTGTTTATTTTGATATACACATTATAGACATTTATAAAATATACTTGTATTTTATAAACAAACACACATATAGTATAACTATTGTTATATTTTTTTCTTTAAAAATAAAAAGTATTAATTTCTTGGTATTCCTCTGTAAAATAATAGTTGTTTTTCATCCGCTCGATAATTAAAAAAGAAAATGTTGTTATTTTAGAATACTATTTTAAGAAACAATCTACAATTACACATTATACCTAATTGAAACATTTTTAAACATATTTGCAAATTCACACACATAACAAATTGCTAACTTTAATAATCTGTGTTCATTATTTTTTTTTAATTTTCAACTCACCACCGAATTGTATACACTACACTGTAAAGTATTTTTAAAATGTTCTAATTTTTTTTTTTTTTTTACCTATGCTGATGTAGGTATATCTAATGCTTACACATAATGAGTAACGTCTTACACGTTATACCTAATAAGTAATAATATTTAAGTTGAAAAAAAATTCAAAGTTTGTCATTTGTAAAAGTAGTTATTACAACATTAACTATTTATTAATGACAATATTGTCTAGTCGTCAAGATAAAAGATAGCAATGGACAAAACAGATTTTTCACGTAAATAAATAACTAATGATATTTTTATCTAACCATTAAAATATGAGGAAAGACATTTTTTATTTTTTTTTATTAGATGTTTTATCCCACGCCATGATACAAAATAATATTATGCAAATTTATTTTTATTAAAATTATTAGATAAAAGGCAAAATCAATAATAGTTACGAAACAATAAACAAAAGTATAGAAAATAAAATTAAAAAATAGATCTCTTGAATGTGTATTAATATTTTACTCATTTAAAAAAGATTCATCTGTATTATATATTTTGTGCACATAATATGAGTATTTTATTAGGACTAAAGTCTACTACACTACTACACCACACGTGTTACAAATTCTTTTAAAATCAATGTTACGATTTTCATTATTTTTAGGTACTTAACCAAAATAATACAACGATAAATGTGAATAGACGTGCAATATATATTGTTTAAAATATTATGCGTTTAATAATTGGTTAATTTATACTAATAAGTATATAACTTATTATAAATATGTATTGTAATGTTTGTATAATATTCGGCAACATTGAAATCAAATAGATAAACATAAACAACATCAATACTACTGTAAATAGTAATAATATTATAATTATTATGAAAAAATCAATATATAAAATATATAAAAATTCGATTTCTTTAAACATAAGTAAATTATCAACTTTATTGTTTATGATGAAAATACAATAATCTTTAAAACTATAAGGCATAATCTTGTTTTATTTGATTACGGATATAGAACATCATATATTTTATAACAATAAAAATCTACAAATTTAAAAGGACGTATAATTGTATAAGAAAACCAAAAACCAAACTACCACGTGTAAAAACGATCATATAAATAAATTGTCGTTTATACTTTTATACATTAATTTAATAGTATATATACAATCACATTATAGAGGAGCTTGAAATTTGTACTATAACGGTTGAGTGCACATTTTTTGGGGTATCACTTGATAGTGGCGTATATTATGTTTGTATATGACATATAATTCTTAAATATTTTCGTTACTTTATACTAAACCTAAATTATGACCAGCACAAAACGCTTAAACACACGATAAACTATATTTGAAAATTCAAATTTATACTTTCGATCCGAGTATGGTTTTTTGGTTTCTCGTTTTAACACTATGATTCCACGCACAACTAAATTACAATAACAAATAATATTAATAATAGTAATAATAATAACAATACCAATAAGAGTAAATAATTATGAAAACGATTAGTATAGCATATATATAAGTAGCTCATCCTTGGGTCAAAGACTTGACGACAATAGTAGTGGCGGTGGTAAGTTCGCAGTCCTTGTCCTTTGGCCATGTTCCTGTCAAGTCGTTACAAATGCTCGAAGGCGTCATGTCGCATTCGCTACCCACGCGATCGGTCTGCGCACATATCTCGTTCCACGCGAAATGTACGTCAATCTCCTCGGTCAGCCGGCTGCACACCACGAACCGTATTACTAGCTTCGACCCCACAGTGGCCGTGACCAAGTAAATTTGCCCACTCACCATCAGTCGCTCGTAAAGGTTTTTCGTCCAGACGTTATCGCCCTACAGATGAACGAAAAATCAATTAATGACGTATCACATATCATGAACGTATTTTATATTAAATGTTGTAATAGTAAAATTTTAGATTCCACTGGGAATTTCAACATAATATTGTTTTTTTTTTTTTTAATATCAAAATTACATTGGCACAATTTTCTATTATATAGATATTTATAGGTAGTTTAAGTTTTTTCAAAATTGTACATTTAAATGAAAAATAATGATTTTTGGTACTTTTACAATTTTAGACAATTTATTTTAACTCAAAAATATTAATTTTAAAAACTATTCAAATTAAGTGATCCATATCAACGTTTATTTTCATTTTCAATAAGACGTATATAACAACTATCGATTTTTCTTTCATAAAACTTTAAAAATAAGTCAAATTTAACAATAATTATAGTATAATATAAAAATTTTGTAATCATCTAGCAACTTAAATTTATTTTTATTAATTATTAGATAACAATGAAATATACATATTAGTAAACGACGAAATAATAATGTACATATTATTAATTTGTATGATATATAATATTTGTGCGAATTTTTCCATTTATTTAAACTGAAGAGTGTTATGATTAACGAATAAACAATTCTTTGTTGAACATCATTTTTTTTTAATTGGAATATAAATTTATGTACGCAACCAATATGTACCTTTAATACATCACGTTAAACAGTATTTATACGTACCTTTAATCGAAAGCAAACCAATCCCATGGTTACCGTGACGACTTCAAACCTCGGGTCCTGTTTGACTAATTTCCCGAACATATCTGCCAAGTGAATCTGTTTTTTAATATGTGCTTGTAGGCCCTCCAAACCATACATTCTCAACACAAACCACATTTTCAATGATCTGAACCTCCGGCCCAAAGGTATTTGCCAATGCTGTAATATAAATATGACCACAGTGTAATATATTATAGTAATTGTATTAAGTATATTATTATACATAAATAATAAAATAAATTATTTAATACTTGTTTCTTCGACATTTTTTCATAATTTACTAATTGTAATAATTTTAGTATGGTTACTATTTTAATTATTTATCAATATATCATATTTCGGATTAATAATGGAGTGCAGGGATTTGTAATGTACTAGAAACTTAAGTCTTAGGTTATCTTAAGAGTCTCAAGATAATATTCTAGATTTCTTAATTTTGTAAACTGATAAATAATTGAGATTATTGAATAATGGTTGAGAAAAAAATGAATTTTAATAATTGACTCCCATACGTTTATTTTACACTTTCGTGAGCTCAGTTTTATTCCTACATATAACTAAATTTAAAAGAACACACGAGCCATGAGATATTACTGAATAGAAATATTTATTTTTTTTAAAAGTCATTTTTTATCAATTATCAAAAATAAATGTAATTATATGCATCATATAATTTCTAAACACATATTCTTTTTTAAAGAAATTTCCAATATTTTAGTAACTGCATCCTAGCCTTTCGATACTTAAATTTAGTACTAAATATATCATTTTAGTATACTCTATACACCATACACTAATATATATTATTTAATTTTTTTTTTCCATTAATATACATAACATTATAGTCATTACTCTGTAATCCGGTATTTTGGGGTCCTGGCTCTGATAGCTGTGCTTTAAGTATACCCGGTCCACGTTGAACGCATCCACCAAATAAGTGGCGTTCTTCACCCACAGAGCCGAACAGTCGAAATTCACTAAGAGCCACTTATGCAAGTTAACGTCAAAAGAGTCCGCGTATTGTACTCCCGCCATCAAATATCTGTACTCTGGTAAAATGAAAGCTGCACCTATTGAAGACAATAAACGAACAACACACAAACATACCAGAAATTATAGTCATTAATAATAATATAATAATACACTGTTAAAAAAAATATTATTTTTCTCAAATAATTCGAAATATTCAACATTTTGTTAATATACATATAGGTATATAATATATTAATATCATAAACCTTAAAGAGTAGGCAAAGTCCACCCCAAAATATATAATGATTAATCATCCTACTATTTATATAGTTTTAGTTATTTAAATTTAACTAATTTTATCCTAAAAAAAATTTTAAGTTGAGAAATTGGATCAACGATGTGGTGTTGAGACTGAAAAAGTTAATTTCATGATGAAAAAATTTGTTTAAATAGTTTTATCCGTTAAGACTCGTTGATTCACAGACATTCTAAAGCTTATTCAATTTAATCCTAATGCGTTTTAGAGTGATCCGGTTTAATCGAGTCCGGATTAACGAGACTTTGAAACTACATATTATAATCTTAAATATCATTTTCAAATTTCCATATTGTTTATATAGTAGGTATATATTGTACAACAGTCGTCGTAGGTAAAGCGGCAGTAGCCTGTGTATACCTGCGTAAGCGGCGTCGATGTGCAGCCAAATGTTGTTTTTGTTGCAGATGGGACCCAGCTCCTCCAGACAGTCGAACGCGCAAATTCCAGTGGTACCCAATGTGGCGACTACATAACACGGTATTAATCCTTTGGCGATGTCTTCAGCTATAGCTTCAGAAAGTATGACTCCGGTCATCCTGCCACTCTTATCCGCCTTGAGCAACCGCATCGGCATCGATCCCAGGAGACCAGCTTTCTCTACACTCGAATTGGACTGATCTATATAAACGCGGTGGGTTTAATTTGTACACACATTTTATCAAACAAATCAAAATAAATTTCCATATATCTCATCATATTATCAATTGTGTTTAATAATTGGCGTTTCCTAAAATGACTTACCAGAACTATAGGCTACTAATTTCGCCTTGATCTCACCATCGGTCAAGCTAGGATCGAGTGCTTTGATCCTCTTTGTCGTACGGTCTTTAGCTGCCAAAAGGCAAACAAACGTGGCTTCACTGGCACTGCCCTGCATGAACCCGACAAAAAAATAATTATTATTATTTTTATTATCATTGTTGCCGAAAAATACAGCCACATATTTATCTTTAGATCAAAACAGACATAACAGAATTATAATTAAATTTTTATGTAAATACCTGAATAATACCCCCACCGGGTCCTTCTGATTCGTTTAAAAACTCTTTTGGCAAGTCCAAGAGTTTTCCAAACCAATTCATAACTTGCACTTCGAGTTCGGTACATGCTGGACTCGTTATCTGTAAAAAATCGTATTATTACTATTATTAGACTATATTTCTATTCCATATACCTAGTAAGACTCGAAGATTGAAAACAATTAATATTAACATTTAACAACTAAAGGAATATAGAACTAGCATATATTTTTGAGCTCTATTAGTGAGTTCAAAAATGACGTTTTAAGTTTTGGAAACTTTCTAGTTAATTACACCCATTTCATAATATTAGTTACGATTCAAACTATGTTTAATATTCCAAAACATTAAACAAGAAACAATTTTCATAGCGTCAATCCGCTTAGAATTTTTAAATAATAATTGTTTATTATCGTTTTAATATTTTAAACAAAATTGAATTAATGTACATGAAATTGTCAATCTACTAAGCATTTGAAGCACAAGGAAGTTATAATTTAATTTTATCGGTGTCCCTTGATTTTAATATTTGATAAATAATTCTTGGTAACATAATATAAACAGATTATATTATGTAAAAGAAAAAAAAATATGAGATTTGCAATAGTTTATTATTATTAAAATATCACACAATACCTATATAATGCAGTATTATAATTTATCTAATAATATCTATTACACACGTTTACCTGCAGATAAAAATAGTATATCATAAATATAGATAAACACTATACATAAGAGTAATTTGTATTTATAGCTAAAACCAAAGTTTGACTTTTTTTTTTATTTATTTTTTGTGTTGATAAAATGGCTAAAAACAATTTAGCCTACCTACTTGAACTTTGACATTTTTAACAGAACATTAAATGTAAAAATAAATAACAACGTTCGACATTTTTTAAGCTATTTTATTATTAATGGTACATTAAAATTTACAAACAAACACCTAATAAATAATTTATTGTGAAGAACGTATATGTTTTGTCTCACAATGGATTTAAAACTTATCTATAATTTTGCTATCAAACAATTCTTACGATAAAAAAGGTGTAAAATATTATAAATTTTAAGAAAAAAAATATATGCGTACAGTCTTACAGTTTTCTTTCCACAAAAAATTACTAATTAAAAAAAGCTATTATTCGACTAATAAACTATTCAATTCTCGTGAGACATTGTATAATATATAATTTTTATTACTGATGTATTATATCATGAATTGATATAATTTATAATTTTTAATAGGGGCATCTGGTATTTTTAAATTATTATTCTTATTTTATTATAATAATTAACTATAATATCATTCAAATATAACTTTTCGAAAAAAAAAGTAAAATATAGAATATAAAATTAAATTAATCAATTTTTGACAGTTAATAAAGTTGCCATCAAAAGATAGGCAAATGAATACTGTTCCGTTGTACATTAGGTATCGAGTGGGTCACTATTATAGAAGTATGTTAAATTTGAATTAAATAATGCATTATTGTATACATAAAATGATTCTGAGCGGAGACAGTCTATCAACCCATTTCATTAAATAGGTATATTTTAAATTTTGTGATATGTTTTTAATCTATACATATTATATTAAATTAATTTATTTTACTTTTTTATTAGAGTAGATTTATATAATTTTTATTGAAAATATTGCGTTTATTATATTATTAGTTTTTAGTTATTTTAGCAATATGTATTTATTTATACTGCAAAATTTAATAAAATATTTTTGTAAATATCTCAAAACCGCAAAAGTAAGTTCATAATATAAATAGTTGTCTTAAAATAAATTAAAAATTTTATTGAGCATAGTAAAACTCATAATAATACTTCACATATAAGGAAACATTTTAAATTTCCACGTATAATACTTATAAATTATAACAAAAGATTAATATCGTTATTCATCGTTTGATAGATAATTTCGTCCAAATTTGAACTTAAAATATTAAAGAATTACATTTCTCTACATATTTATTAGATATTATGGTTTCAATATGAACTACTTATTAAGAATCTTGTATTACATTTTCAAAACTTGAATATACATGAAAAGAAAAGTTTTTATGTACTATTAACTACAAAATAGTTATTTTTTGACAATTTGACAAATTCCTCCCTTTTAGAATATCAAAAAATTTTTATACACACAAAAAAATACGATATTGTAAATTTAAAAACAAAAAAATCTAAAAGCATATATTTTAGTAGTATCATACTTTAGTATTAATATTTATCGTATTTTTCGGTATAACCACGTTGATTTTAAAACCAAGGAGAAAAATGTAAATAAAAATAAAATTTTCGGTATCATGTTGCGATATAATTGTATCATTTTATTATTTCCCAAAGATTAATTGTTCATTTTCAAACAATATACGTCGAAACCCTTTTACCTGCCTTCAAGAAAACGCATTTTTATATTATATAATATATACTTCTTTACCCAAGAAAATCCTATAGATCCAATCGCGTTACACAACATGTCTCCGATAATGGCCGGATAAGAGTTTCCAGTTGGAAAATACGCGTGGAACTGTGGTGAGTTCCAGTGTGTAATGCCAGGCATGATTATTCTCTCCACATCATCCAACACTGTCTTCCAATGTTCACCTTTGATCGGAGCCTCAGATGGTACCATTTTGTACAGATATCCTGGTTTCATGGTGGAGATAACGGGCCTAGAACGGATGTATTTTTTAATTTAAATACAATAATTTTATGTAACACCTTTGAAATTATTCCATTTTTACAATTTTTATGTTCATACGTAAATCTAAACTCAAATGAATAGTTTTGGAATTAATACATTTTATAAAATAGTTATTAAAATAATAGTCCATGATGATATGCTCAAAATATTATATAATGACTATGATTGCTTAAAAATTATTGTAGTAATTACTAATTAACATTAGAAAAAATTGCCATTTCATAATTTTAAAAATTGCCATATTGTTACTAATTACGTCTAAACTGAATTATATACCTATTTTTATATGTGAAATAAAACCCAAGAAAAATTATTAATAATTATTATTTTAAAACATTTTAATAAATCAGAAACAACTAGTTCGAATTTAAATTTAGATATTTAGACATTTTCAAAAAAATGGTAAGTGAGATTTAGAATAACAATAGTAGTTCTTATTTGAAAAAAAAGAGTTTGTATTAGCAAATAAGATACTTCTTGAATGGTATAAAAAAATCTAAGCATCTGATAATATGGTCATTAAGTACCTACTAAAAAATTCTAAAAACCATATTTAGAATAAACTAAAGGATAATAGGGGAGTAATCATGTTTGGTAAGTAATTTTATATTTAGTGACATGATAGTATTTATATGATTGAATCATAGCTGTATACAGATATTATATATCTACAAATTATATTATTAAAAAATTGTTTTTTTTTTTTTACCTTTCTCGGATGTTGTCATTGTAATCGGCGATTAAGTCAATAACAGCCTTTGCGCATATTCTAAATGACTCAGAATCCATTTCTAGTTTATTTCTTAGTTTATCACCATCGACGACGAAAAAAATAATCGTATTACCTAAGTAAAATAACATAATAAATTAGTGTTAGGTATTTAATTATTATTGAAATAATTATTTATGACGTTAAGACAGAATACTACCGTTTCGATTATTGTCGTTATGGTACTTAAATAATCAATGATATAAAAAAAACTTATTTTAAATCGATTATGTGAGACCTACAGGAAGAATAGTAATATACAGAAACACCAATTACGTCGTATTGCGTGTTTGCTCAAAAACCCATCAGCTATAATACACTACTTACCACCTGGTAAGATTTATAGCAAAGAAAAATACTAGGTTTCAATCGCACGTGTGTGCGGTAAAATATTACGATAATTTATCGATTTCAAATCAAATTAATGCATTAACACATCCATCTACAATTTTTTAAGATAATTACGATGCAGCGAGTATAGATCATAATACGTGTGTACATACTGTGATAGACAATATAATAGTAAATAATCCTTCAGATTTGGTTATTAATGATTCGTGTTTGGTGCATACAATTAACTGCAAGAGCAGCTTAAATTCCAACAGCGCATAATACATATAGAAACTTTACCGAGAAAAAAGATGCGCTACTGGTGATCATCGTATTGTTCCTTATAGACTATAGTTTATACAGCGATTTAATTATGTACATACTTATATATAATATTGAAACTTCTTTCCAAGAAAAAATATTAATAAACTTTCAAGGATGTTCATCGATATTGCTTATTGCTTAGTGTCTGCGTCATAACGAAATAGATATATAAATTACAATAATACAAATTTTTGACGAACTACATACATGGTTTTCAGACATGATAATACGTATTGTTATTTTAAGAATCAACGAACTTTATATAGCACTGTGTGTGTGTGTGTGTGTGTGTAGATCGAGGGTTCAAGTGGGTACGAAACATATAATATTCAAAGTCGCGTTAAGGACGCGTTTGGTTTTTGTTTCGTTGGAAAATTTGCGCGATCAATGGACGCACGCAATAACATAATAGTGGGACCATAATAATGATGATACAAAAACAAAATGGAAAAAAATCATCAAGGTCCGTGCGATACATTATAAAAAAGGTTAAAAGAACAGAGCACCGCGCCGACAAAGGGGGTCCAGCCACGCGATGCTGTAGCGTTCTTATTGGACGACGATTCAACGGCAGTCGTTAGATGACATTCGTTATTATTATGATAATATATTACTACAACACAATATTATAATATACAAAAAATAATGTAGTGCAGAGTGGTAAAAACAATCACTAAAAATTTTAATAAATCAATAGTGAGCTATAGTGGTCCCATGAATATGATTTAGTGGTCCGTAATTGAACCATTAAATTAAAAAAATATTCGTGCAACCCGGCATACAGGTATATTAATACAGTAGTATCTATCATTGTAAAACTGATGGAAAGTAATAATGCAATTTTAAGGAGAGACAAACTTAAAAATAAATGTGTATCACCGATTTTTGTTCCATCGAAAAGATTTATACAAGACGTATTTTTATGTAATTTATTTAATTTGTTCGGCAAGAACGAAACAGTAGATAACGAAAAAAATGTGTAACCATAAATTAAAATTATAGAAAGATGTTTAATTAAATGGAGTTTTTGGTACATAATAAATCGTTAAAATTAAAAACTTATTCTAATAAGGTACCTGTAAGGAAATTTTGGTAATGATTGACGATTATCGCATAATTGCGTCGGGGAAAAAACATTCTTGCAATTCAACAATTATAATAATTAGAGATAAGATATTAATGACTTTTGCATTATTTTTTCTTAAATAATAATAAAATGCTAACCAAACTATACATTTTTCCATGCTCCATTGGTTCAAAATAAATAAATTCTATATTATATTTTTAGAAATTTTAAACCATAAACGTATTTATTGTTCTATACCATCATTTATAAAAGTCATTTTTTCACATTTTTCACATTACAAAAGGTAAATTATTGTAATTTTTGTATATTGTAAGTAATTATTCTTAAACATTAAATTTAAAAGAAAATAATACTTACATTTTCGAAAATATTTGTATCATTATTTTTGAAGATTTTTTTTTGTGATTAGATTTTAGATTTACCAGGCACAGAACGTAGTCAAATAGACAGGTACATATAACAAATTACCTATTTTACTTTTACAGACATACGTTTATCAAATATTATATTTAAATGTTACTGTATCGTAGAATGCTAAAATCCAATTAATCTTTTTTTTTTTTTTTTATACCATTTTAAGTTTTTAAGTTATCAACATATTTTTTTTAACTATGTTGTTACTATAATTTATTTTAATGTTTATGTTTGTTAAATTCTATATTATGGCAAGATCGTATAACCCTTCCCTCGCTCACCTCTACCACAACACATTTCAGACACCAAAAACAATGAGGTACCGATTTATCCGCAGATGCTCGTTTTATACACAATACTCGACCATTCCCATTCGACCTTCTATATAATGAATCCGCGTTAATATATTATGTATGTGTGTGTATAATGTTTTCAATACGTGGAACTGTGGTTTCGACCCTTCAAGGAATTCCAGAAGACCGAAGGGATTGAGGATGAAAACAGAGCTCGACGAGTGTCAACGACGTGGTCATTAGTCAAAATCATCTCGACCAGCGAGTCGTGTCTGTCGGTGCGCGATTGATCGACCTCGTTAATGGGGTTAACGAAAGGCGTTTTTATATCGCGAACAGTTTGACTTTTTTCTTTGCATATTTTTTTCTCGCTCCGTTTACCCAACTCCGCTGTTTACCATACGCACATGATAAATATTAAAATGTTACTATAATAATAATTATTGTTATTATTATTTTAATCGTCATCATTATTTCCATCATTTTGTCATCAATCTTTAACGTCACAATCGGTACCTACATTAAAATATTTTAAACCAAAACCGAGTTCACAGCTATACTGGCTGTAATGTCGTGTATCTTTAATCTTATTATGGTTGATTATTGTTATCGTGATATCATTTATTAACCATGATCTACTGGAAAATTTCAAAGCTGGACTAAGCTCAACTTATTGACATGACAAACGTATAGTTTTAAGCCCGGATCAAGAGTCAAATAATTGCAATCTAGTCTGCGGACGAGGTCTTCGTCGAAGCGTTTTAATTTTTCATATTACTTACACCAAGCAGTAAACGCCTTTTCTCGATCGTTACAAATGGATCGAAAACCGTATTAGTTAAACTTTTTAAAATTAAACAACATGACACATTTTTTTCTAAATCGTTGATTTATCATTGAACTCAAATTTATAAAACACCGCGATACCGTAGTGACCAATCTCGAAACTATTGTACGCTGTTTATGATAAAAAAAAAATGATATAAAACCAAATGAATATATTAATTTATATAATATTATATAGACGTGTATAGATACATATAAATATAAAAATAATATGTAGTTAATATATAAGTAGGTGCCGATACCTAATACGTTTTTAATTGCATATCAGTCTGTAATATACAAATTTATTAAATGGTTTTGAACTATTAATATTCAGAAATGAAAGTACGTGGCGGGTGGGTAAGCGTTTTTAAATATAGTTCTGCAAACAACTAAAAAATCGTTAAAAAATTTACGAAAAATTAGAATTTCTACGCAAATCCATTATTAAAAATGCAATATGCGTACTTTTTGTCATTTCAAATTTATTGTGAGTAAACAAACTTATAATATTTTGGAATGTTAATCAACAATAGAATATTAATGATTAAAAAACAAATTACAACCAACAAACTTACTTTTGAATAAATATAATATAATACACACGCTAAACGGTATATTATAATGTATCTATTGAGGGTAGATATGATGCAGTTGTTAAAATTTTCCGATCTCACTTAATCGAACATCTGCACCATTAAACTGTACTATCGGAACGTCCGAAAACAAATTGTTTAGTTAACCGCTCAAAACGCACACCGAATCACTAATAAATAATAATATAATATTAAAATACTTTAAAATATAATATCCAACACACGCGTTTCTATCCACAGTACACCACTTTCTATGTCCGCGTGTCTCCGTATCCCTCCTTCTCTACATACAACACATAAAACCCGTCCCACTTTATGCGCTGTCATTTTTCTATTCACACTTAACACTATATTATAATATTATAATCTAATGTCTAAAATTTGCATATAACGCCATGCCATCATTATTAAAATATAATATACATTATTACAAGCACGACGCAACGTACAACTATATAATAATAATAAACAATAATAAACGATATGCTTTTCTCGCGTATTTTCTTCTCGGCCAACACATTTACTCTATTTCATCGAAAACGAATACGGATCTTTGCGTGGTCAATAAACAATTAATAGATTTAACTTGTATTCATTCTTGTAAAATAAACCTATTAAGAACATTCGAGTAATAGTATTATATTGATATTATGAAATAAAAATACAAGCCTATGATTTTATTCACAATCATGGTCGTATATTGTGTTGTTTTGTTTAAGTATCATGTCGATCACGATATGATTTTAGGTATAACCTATCTGAATAATTATTGAATATTTGATTTACTAGCTTATCGTTATATATTATAATAATATGATATAATTCAGAAAGAAATCGAGTTATCACGTATTCAATATTTATAGTTCCTATTATGAACTAAAATATTTTGGTTCGTGGTTTACACCATAAATTTATTTTCATTGTTTCTACTATACAGTCATCTAAATATGAAAACACTTCTTATATAAGCAAACCAAGCCATCGGGCATTGTCTCAGTTGTCTGGCGGGTCATTTCGCCCCTAAGTAACAAATTATAGATCCATATTCTAGAATTGATCGAACTTGAGAAAAATATAAAATACAGCAATTAGGGTTCCAAAAACTCAAATACGCATATGGTTATATTATAAATTACATTTATATGTTCAGTAAAAGAGAGATTACTAGAAAAAATAATACCGAAATCTTCAACTTGATTTTTAACAT